CTCGGGTGTCAGCGCCGCAGGCCTAGGTAGATGTATGCCAGGCGCGTCGCAGCGTAACAGTGTTTCGTGAGATATCACGAAGCCTGTTACGCGAGACGTAGTCTGGCGTACATCTACCTAGTATACTGATACACATTTAAACTTAATTGATATACAATATAGGTTTCCCTTAAAAATATTGTTCCTTGATCTAGTATTGTACTCATGGATATCTCCAACTCTTCGAGTAACTACTCTCTCTCTCTCTCTGTCTTACAAAAAGGGCCGATGAATATATTTAAAGAGAAAGAAGAGTTAAAATTTTGTCATTAATAAATAAATTTTTACACGAAATAGAACTGTCTGAAATACCATGCAGCATACGGATGGCTCTTTTTTGCAATTTAAATAGTTTTTCTAACATAAATTTCTGACCGTCTTCAGAGCCCCATATAATGATACCATAAGAGAGGAACGATTGTATGAAAGCATTGCAGTCATGTATGCAACTTCGAATGGTTTTGCTTATTACATCTTGTTGAACTGCATTGCACACTAACTGACGTCTAGTTCAGTTCAACATCATAACTTTTCACACCTGAAAATGCGCATTAATTGGTGTGCAACTTTCTCCATTTTGTTTTCCCAGTTTGGTGGCGAAAATCTCTTGTTGACAAAAATAACAACTCACATAAGGTTCTTTTGTATTCTTAAATGTAGGGGAGCAGCTGATGGGAGCATCTTGATGCAATTCTTCCGCTTGGTCAAATTCCTCAAACTGCTTCAGCAATTGCAAATTATCCTCAGAATAATCTTCAGTGAGTCAGGAATCCAGGGACCCTTTTGTCATATGGGAATTGTCCCGCTCCTGGACCCATGAGTTAAAACAAATAGTTTAGGGAACGTTTTCTCCCACCTTAAATTTTTATCTTTCAAGTTACAAATTTGCCTTTATAATTGGACAAATTATGTTTTTTCATGCGGAGGAAATGCAAATTCGCCATTTAAACATGCGCGTTTGCATTCACGCAAGATGTGCATATAAATGCATATTTCAATCAACAAATATGTCCTTTGAAAGAACCCTCACGAGTGGTTAATATTTAAAGTCGCAAAGTACCTTCATGGAAGTGGATGGATCATCTATGTCAGAGTTATCAGAGTCAGCTAGGGAATTTATAATGGGCTTTATCTTTGAAGGAGCATAGGGCCCGACTTCTCTCTCCCGAGCCTTCATAATCAATCTATGGGTGTGGTCTACATATTTTGCCCATTTTTCTGGACTACTTGATCTAGGGCAATGTGCCAGGCTTGTCTTGCCACTTCGTCAGTCCACCCTCGGCATTGTTTTTTCATAAGTGTTAGCATTGTTTGTATTGTCTGCTTTGTGGTGTTCTTTGTGTGGGGATGTGAAATTACTGATATGAATACAAGAACAAGCATAATTGGTAGACTCTTGGGTACAATACCAGGGCTTCGTAACTTATCATAACACAAACGAATGTCAGTTACTAAAAGTTAAAGTTATCGATTTCGAAATCACTGGTGATTGTGTCAACGAACGTATGTCCAAAGAAATCGAGTCGATTGAATTTCGGTCTATTTTCAGAATATAAAGTTTTCGTGTCAAAGTACCTTTAAATAAAAAATTTGATTTTTTTGGACGTACGTTCATTGACACGATTACCAGTGAAATATGCCCGATATTAATCATAAAAACTGTAGAAAAAAGTTGGACAAGTCTAATAACTAACTTATTAAAGACTACAGTAAAAGTTACAAGTGTAACTTGAACCCTTCAAATAACGTTAAAGGCAGTTAAGTTATAAGTCACGGAGACCTGTACAATACTATATGAAACTCCTTAATCTCCACTGTTACCTTTGCAAGGTTGACTAACTCTGAGTCCATTGGATGAAGAGGAGTGATGGAGAGGCACAAACCTCCCTTCTTCAGCAGATTCTGATTTTTCCAATAACTTTGTTGTTCACCTCCTTTACATTTTTCCACACGAGCTCTATGGCGTTCCACTCATATTGGTATGGTGGAACCCGTAGAAGCTCATGTGGTGTATTTTTCTGTTAGGAATAATGACAAATGACTTTAATAGCAATTCTCATAAATCAGTACAGACCTGAGAATGTGACAACTCACCACAAGGTCTTCTGCCAGCATGACAATGGTCTTGAGTGCATTTTTGCAAAGGCTGCAAGTTCTGCTTTTGTTGCATTTTCATCAAATGGAATCTTGGCACTTGGCAGCAGTTAACCCTTCCACAGATTTTATACGCGACCATGACAGCTGGGGTTGTACTTTCTTCTGAAAATAAAATGGTCCATCATGAAAATCGTTACCCACCCGGGCATAGTTTTAACGTTTTAAGCTGAACGTTGGTGGGGTACTTTAAACTGCCCCTTGGTGTTAAATTTTTGGTATTGCTCGGCGTTGTCTCCGACGAGTACCTGCACGCAGCCATCTCGTCGTAGCACCGCCTCAGAATTCCTGTCCTTCCCTGCAGCATACAGGCGAGGCGGTGGTTATCACTTCGGCCACAATGGTATTAGGAGAGCGGAGAGAACGGCAGATTCGCGCTGCCTCTAGGGGCCGGGCAGCAATGCCTAAGTTTAAAACGAAGGGGCAGTTGACAGCCCCGTACAAACGTTCAGCTTAAGACGTAAAAACCATGCCCGGGTGGGTAGGTTGGCGGGGCTCGAAGTGCAGGTACCTCCTCGTGGTGAGTCCTAGGTTAGCAAAGCACTAGGCTTTGTCAAGCTAAGACCTGCGCAACTTAAGCCTTTCCTAAATGACAGCATTGCCATGCACACTAGGTGCCTCATCCGTTTCCCGAAATTCCGCCCCGGTTCCTGCCCTATCTTCTCCCATCCCACAGCCTGCCCTTGTTTTACCTTCTGGTGGTTACAGACAATCCGTGAGACCACCCCCGGACTGCCCAGGACCCGTATACTGGCCCCAGAGCCGGATCAAAGAACGAGTTGGAGCGTTTTTTGAGTAATTTTATACAAATGTCGCCGTAGAAATGGCCTTAAACGGTCCTCCTATAGCCGGTCACAGGTGGCAAACTTTTTTCAGATGTACAAGAAACACATGCCATTCATGAAGCGTCTCTGTACTGCTTTGAAAGATTTTTAACCCGAATTATTCGATTTTAGTGCAAAATAGTGAAATTTTTCAACTTTGAGGCGAGGTAGGAACCTGAAGTCTTTGCCTCAGCGAAAAACTAAGGTCGGTTCCGGAAACTACATCGAAAATGGCTTGAAGTGAGGGGGGCCCGTTTTTAAATTTCAAAAGTCGACCTAGTACGCTACACCCTACTGTATAATATTTGTGTAATGCTGTTCAACAAAATAAACACATTGTCCCTAAAAAGAAACATGTTATTAGTCCAAAACCAGTCAGGGGAGGCAAGGGCAAAAACACGAATACTGAATATGTTATGAGAGAATCACTTCCAGCCCTCTACTGATAATTTTTCTTCAGATAGACCTTAGGTAGAAGGACGGTTAGACCTCAGATAGAACAAATACTGACATGTAATGTAACATGTAATATGAATTTCTTTTCCATCTTTTGTAATATAAATAGAGATTTCACTTGCCTGGACAGTATGGTAGGGAGCATTGTCAATCACATTCAAGGATGGTCTGTTAAAATTGGCAAGCACCCTTTCATCCAGCCATCTGTTCCATGTGGGCCCTGTCATGTCGCCATGGTAGTCATCCTCTGGTTTGGGGTTTTTGCAAGACTTGACAAACATGCCAGCATTTTTGTCAAATCCAGCTTGTCCCTCAATGTGGGACACAATGTATTGTGCTCCTGACCAACTTGATGACGAGCAGCTCTTCAGAGACAAGAATGAATGTAAGGGAAGATAATATGAAGATATGTCAATATTTTAATCTGTTAATGTACACCTACACTCTAGTATTACAAGGAGAATTTTGTAGATACACTCTCATATCCTGTCCCTGATTTTTCTGACCCCTGTTTTTAGTAACCCTGCTACTGACAATTTTTTCTGTTATCAGTGAGTTACTTACAATAATATTTATAATACGTAACAAATTAGCCAGTAATTCTTGCTGCATAAAAACTTATAGGTTTCCACTAAGATATAACTCAGTACAGGTCTGAGAGTGTAGGAGGGCAAAAAGTTGTTGATAATAAATATCTCACCTCTACTGATCTGTCTTGCCATTTTCGTACCTTTCAAGTCCCCTCTGTGAATGTCCAGGTTTCGTCCTGGAACAAGACCTCCTTGGGGACTAGAGCAGTATGGTTGGCATGGTACTTGCGGAGGAACGTGTAGCGCTTAAGAGCAATAGATGGCCGCTCTTTTAAGAAACGCCCCTCTCTCACTTTCCCATACCTGAACCCTAACTCGAGCAAAATCTTGCGTAGTGTTTCTTTGCCCCCATGAAAGTCAATAGCTCGGTCACTGAAAGATCAAAGAACAAATAGTATTATTACAATCAAATGTAATAATGTATGGTAATAATAATAATATTACCAAATCCTCTCCAAAATCGATTGGTGAGAAAAGTGTTCCTGTGCAAGTTAAAAGCAATACAAATAATTAGTATGCTGCTATAAAAAGTGTACACCTTCAGTCCTCTTCACTGATAATTGATAATTTGTCGAGGGGGGGATAACTCCCCTGCTAAGTGTACACCTCTAATTCTGTCCAATTCAAACTAATTCAACACAGAGTAAGGGGGTCGACAGTACACCAGTAGTCGACACTTTCAACTTTGCGATCGATTTCCCGCGAAGAAGTTAACGTTAGAGTCTCGCGCGTTTTTCTGGGTTTTAGCGCACTCTATTGAGATTATAATGAACCCATTGCCGATTCCGTGCCACCTCCGGGAGCCGGTTGGGAGCGCTTCGCACAGAAGACTGCTCGTCGCGTCACATCGAGCCATAATTTCTTAGCTCCGGAGTATTGGGCAGGTGTTCGCTCGGAAGGTTCTGTGAGGCTGCCATTCACCCGAGTGGTTCCGGAGGATGTTTGTGTTGTTGTCAAAGATATGTATTATCTTTCCCCATTTAGGTTTTCGAAAATTTCGGTCGGGGGGGTAAATAATGGCGGTGTCGACTACTGGGTCAGAAGAAGACATCTGTTCCAGTAGTCGACCCTTACTTTATTTTGAGTGTGTGCTCCCTTCCTACGGGCTTATTCCGACAACTAGGGCCCTTTGTCAACGTGAAATGTTGTTGGGATCGTGTGTCCTTTATATTCTTGTTCGTAATACATCATAATGACATCAGTAGCACCAGGTGTCAATACTGTGCCGAATGATAGTTTGCGTTCAGTGCCCCATTTCTGTGAAGCATTTCTCTGGAAATGTGCCCTGGTTGCTTGAGAGCTCTCTTCTAGAAGTGTTAACAGACACAAGGGTCGAGGGGGGGG